TCGCTTAGCTCGCATATTTTGACAGATTCATTGTCGGAAACCTACAACACAACAATTCCTACTTCTCAGTATTAGTAGCTCAAGTATACTACTATTGCAGACTTCTTTCTTTGAAAAAAAGAAGAATTATTCTAAATAGTGGAAGTGTATACTAAACCCATCAAATTTTGGGTAGTAAATATTTAAAAAATATATTTTAGTTGTCATAATTTAACATAACTATTTATTACATGGTGCAGATAAATAAATATTCATTGTCGGTAATTCGCAAAGTTCTATTTTATTTACAATTTAGTTTGTTTACTATACCCGGTTCGCTAATCCCAGTCCGAACTGTCTAGTGATTTTAGTAATTATGTTTTTACGAAGTTAGTTACTTTTTGACAGACTAGAAGTGGCTGGAAATTACTATACGACCAAGCACACATGCTCATAGCGCATTTCATTAAAGTATTTCGTCGACCTCTTTTGCAAACTTATATGACTTAGAAATTTATAGCACGTATAAAGATAGTAAGTTTCTATTATATGTAAAAAATATATTTTATCAAAAAGTTACCGTAATTTAGTTTATATCGTTAGGTTACGCCAAATATAGGCAACCAACTTAAACTTTTTGTTAGCATTTATGCTGAAGTTTCTTGGGAATATATTTAATTTTATTATTATTTTTTAAAGTGATGATAATAATGTTGAATAAGCCATATTTCAAATGATATATAATCACAAGACGTACTTGTGTTATATAATATAATCCTCATAAAGTAAGTTAGATAAAAAATATAATATTCATATTATAATTAAAAATATTATGCATCAAAAAGATAATACAATATCATCAAAAATATTATAATATTCTATTATTACTATCATAAACTAGTTTTTTTTCTAATTTTAGCTAATTTCTATCAGAAACGTACTTTATGAAGATTATATAAAATAATATTAAGTACTTTTGTGATTAAATATCGTTTAAAATATTGCTTATTCAGCATTATTACCATGACTTTTAAAAAATAATAAATTAACTGGAAAATATTAAACGTTTATTAAAAATATTCTCAAGAAACTCCAGCTAAATGCCAAAAAAGTTTAAGTTGGTTGCCTACATTTGGAGCAACTTAACGGTATAAACTAAATTACTGTAACTTTTTTATAAAATATATTTTTTATATATAATATACATTTTATATATAATTTTGAATAAATCTTTGTGCAGGTTGATTACCTTGTCATTTAACAGCATCCTTAATCATCTAAAAATATTAACTTTTAAAAGAACATTTATCATATTTATTTAAGAAATACTTACCAACGCATTATCTGATAGAACAAATGGAAAACTTTGACTATCCCCAATAATAAAATTCAAAATAGAACTATAACTAAATAGAACTAACAACAATATTTACTACAATATAATATTAAATTGTAGTAACTCAAATAGTATATTTTAAATATACAGGGAAATTTTGATGGGTTTAATATACACTTCCACTATTTAGAATAATTCTTCTTTTTTTCAAAGAAAGAAGTCTGCAATAGTAGTATACTTGAGTTATTAATACCGAGAAGTAGGAATTGTTGTGTTGTAGGTTTCCGACAATGAGTCTGTCAAAATATGCCCTAGCTAAGCGAATGGAGAATATTAATATTGGCTATGAGTACGTATGTTTGGTTGTATAGTAATTTCCAGCCACTTTTAGTCTGTCAAAAAGTAACTAACTTCGCAAAAAATAATAACTAAATTCACTAGATAGTTCGGACTGGGAATATTGCACCGAGTATACTTATAACGTACACTAATATTAAAAAAAGTAAATGGTGCAAAGTTAGACCCTGTGGATCAAAGTTACACCGAATGACTGTAATAAAGTTTGCATCAAAACGATTCGTCTTGCTCTGTTTGTATTCTTCTTTTTTTATAGAAACGCTTCAACTTCGTCAATTTTATAATTGTGACGTCATTACCTTTTACTCTGAATGACGTTTATCAACAAATTATCTGACATATTTTTTGACAACTTTATGACGTTTTATAATTAATATTTATGTTAATGTCTATCAGTAACCATTTATGAAATATTATGAACATAGTTTGAATTTGTTTTGATATTAACGTCATAAGGTACCGTTTACGTGATTTTTACTCTCAATATTAACATTGAATGAGATTAAAAATAATTAGATTTGTTTAAACTGCCATATTTTTACCTTATTTTAACTAAAGTTTATATTTTAATAACATTTTTCACCTGTATGATGATCATTCCAGTAATTATTATGTAGCCTTTGTAATAGTCTTTACAATAAATCGTTTTTCGTTAAGTCCGTTTTATGAATAATTGTTAAAATTTTCGTTATAAATGTAAAGCGTTTAATTATCCGATCAGATAAATTGTGTTAGAAATATCTGGGTATTTAGCATTTAAAACAAATGAAGATAAAATAAAATAATGAATGATAAGTGTCTTAATTTAGCTATTATTACTTTTTTGTAGATGCATTTAAAACAGGTCTTGTTTTAACACCGTAGAGAACTAGGTACTGAAAAAATTGAAAGAAAAAAAATACTGAACTTAAATTTTTTTTTAAGTTCGTGACCTTCGAAATAGTTTCGATATCTTCCAAAATTACGATCTTGAACCTCTATTCTACATCTGATCTTCAAAGAATTTGCTTGCTATGGGCATACATTTTATCTTTTTTGTATTGAGCCAGAGTCCATGTTTATTATTAATTTCTGTTACTTTGTACATTAGGCTTTGGGAATTTCTAGCTATTAGAGAATATTACCATATCGTCAGCGTACATGACAATATTAAATTTTTCCCTCTTTGTACATATACCTTCCTCTATATCAACTAGAGCTTCAATAAATATGTTTTCGGGATATAGAGGTTTATAGATTAGACAGCAGTGGGGACAATGTGCATCCTGGTCTAACCCCTTTACTTATTTTGAGCCCATAATTATCTCTTTCTATTTTTACTTGGTTTCTGATCCCATTATAGTTGTGATATTATTTTTAAGTTGGGTTTTTAAAACTTTATTATTGCAAGGTGAAATGTAATTGATGTATTTTGTTTGTGCTATTGAGATGGAGTGTGAAAAGAATAAATTTTAAGAAGTTATGTTAAGTTCATGAACATAAATAATAATTAAATGTTGCAATCTAATTATGCGATTATTTCTTCTGTAATCTTGTGCACCAATCATTCAGTCATATTGGGTATGATATAATGAGTTATCACATAAAATAATGGAGCTTGCAGAGAGATTGGGAATCAATTTTTCCTGTAACCATTTGGTTAATTCGTTGAATTCATTTCTGAATGATCGTCACCAGATTTAGTACCGGATTTAAATATTAATGAAGCATTTATTAAAGCACATTTCACCACCGGTATAAATAATTAATAGTTAAACGTTGGCAGAGATATTCATAAATAAACATTTTGTAGAATCTTCTGCCCAAGTTTTCCCTCTGTTTATCCCTAATATGTGTATGTTATCTTAAATATTTTATTCATATAGTTCGTATCGCTGGTTTCTCTTTTAAAACTTTCTGTCATTGTAAAAGGGAAATGTCTAATTCATCTTTTATTTTTAGTTTTACTTACCGTAATTCAACAATTTTACACCAAGAATATCTGGTATATATTTGAGCCAAGATGTAATAGGTGCATTTTAGATAATATTTTCGTAAACATTTTTCTCGTTATTGTAAACTACAGGTACTTGTATTTATCTTTCTCTTATATTGTTATTATTCATCTTTAAGTCTTTTGGCTCATTTGATATTGTTGTGAAGTATTCTGCTTTTGCAAAGTTAATCTCGATACCTGCACTAGTATATTTTTTTTGTAGCTTCCTCATCCAATTGCTTTAATGATTTTTCCTACTCTGAAGGCCATCTATTCTACATCGATGGTACTGCAGCAAATTGGCTTATTTTACATTACACATTGGCTCATTAACTATGACACAAGTCTTCGAGACTTCGGCAAATCTGCTAGATTGAAGCTCTTCTGCAAAATCTGATAGACCTTCTATTTGTCTCTGGTATACCCAGGACGTTTGTATCAAGACGACATGAAACCTGACTTATTGTGTTGAAGGTTTGCCTGTACGATCCAGATTGGGGCCATTGAGACCAATGTGGCACAGAGACAGAATCCGGCCACCACTCTACTCGTTCCCCTTGTAGATTCGAAAGAGTCACCCACTTCTGAGTGCTCTCCTGGGCTATCTCTTTTTCCTTTAAGGCTATAATGAGCCATAGGTCGCCAGCTCTCTGAAGCATCGCTTAGGCAACATTTTCCCGCTGTAAAATGCATCTCATGGGCACGATGGTGTTACACATCTACATTAGGGAGCGCAGAGGTCGCAGTACAAATCTCACTGTTAATGATGAGCAAGTTGTGGTACGACTGTCCGGTGTTTAGCTGATTGAGCATGATGTAGGTGTGTATATCAATATATGTATATTTTATGTTTATGCATGTGTGTGTATGTGTGAGTTTTTCTGCCAGGTTCAATCAATAAATTTACAGTTAATGACATAGCTACAGTCCCTATGCCAGTGTTTATTTAGTTATACCTTATTCACACTAGTCCTATTGTCCTATATATCCACAGGACAGAGATAAGAACTTCCCCACCCAGTATGTAGGCCGCTAATTCAGTTTAGTGGTACGTTCTCCCACTGTTTCAGGCCTAAATGTTAATTAAATTAATGTTAACTTAAAATTTTGTGAAATGTCTTTTACGATCGTAATTTTTCAAAAAAACTAGTCTAACTTTTCAGGGCAACTATTATTAATTTTAATAAAGCACAAAAATCAGTAAAAATTTAAAATGAAGTAAACGTTATTTTAACAATTTTGAATTACCTTTTTGTGCAAATAAATATATTTTTTTTTTATTTATGTAAAGTATTAAAACTTTAATAGTATTTTAAATTTCAATTTATGATTTTTAATATTTGATTTTTCTAGTCCCGAGAATAAGAAATTCAGATCAAAAACAGAAATAGTAAAATATTTGGAAGAACATCCTACTGAAGGTGTCAATCAAAATCTGTTTGACTTTTCCTTGGTGTTACGAAGAAAACGGAAAAATCCTCTTTTGTCGTCTCCATTAAAACCTGCATCAAAATCTCCAGAGAAAGAACCCAAAGAACCAACACCCGTTCCAATACCAAAAGAACCCGAACCAGAACCACCAGAAGAGCCTGTTAAAGAAGAAAGTAAGTTTTATTTTAAAATTAATGGGAAAAACCCCGTAATTGGCTGTATACCATCGTTTAAAAAAACACAGAAGTTAAAACACTTCACAATTGTGTATTTTGGTGTAAAAACATACAAGTACTTAAAAACTTTTTAAAAAAGTGTCGTCAACATTTAAAATTATGTTGACGACACTTTTTTAAAAAGTTTTTAAGTACTTGTATGTTTTTATACCAAAATACACAATTGTGAAGTGTTTTAACTTCTGTAAAGTTTTATTTTATTTTTACTTTATTTTTGGCTTGATATAAATTCAATATGCATATTTTCCTCCAATAAATTAACACACCAACATCGTAATATTGATATGTTTAATTATATGTAAATAATTTTAGTTTAACACAAATAGTTGTTACTGGAATCAGAGACACAATTTTCTATCGAACGTCGAAAACATCGGAAGATGTTTTCGAAGAGCTTCGGTCGAATTCGAAGAGCTTCGGTCACATGCTCACATGCGTTCACCAGATGTTTACGCGCCTTTACGAAGCATCATTTGTAATACCCATTTTGCAATTCACTCTATTTTACGACTAGATGTTTACTTTTATTCCGTCTTTTCTACAATTATTTCTAAACCCCATTCGTTTATCATAATCTTTGGCAACCATAACTCAATCGTTTTCCAAACATTGGAAGTGCAAATCTGGTTAAGAATATTTCACGTTCCAATATTCACATATTTGAACTTTCAACATTTCACTGACGAAATTATTGGCAATATTTTGATTATCTCTAACATATTGTGAATTTTTTTTATTTTGCACTATCACAGATTGTAGTTTATCAACAGATAACTAAATAATACATTTTTCTAGGTAACGCCAATTGTTTAAAGATCCTTTTCGAAGACAGCGCTTATAAATGCCCAATAGAAGGGTGTGGCAAGAATTTCAGACGAGAAAATTTGGCGCAAATGCACGTCAAACATTACCATCCGGAATATACCAAATTTCTGGATTCGACTCCTAATGTTGCCGACTTGGCCTACGCTCGTACTGTCGGTGAAAATCTCGACAGGTCTCCAGGTGAGTTTTTAAAATATTTCATTTTATATTTATTGGATTTATCTATTTATATTTGAACACGGAAAGTAACATTCATTTTCCTTTTTTACATTTGAATTTAATATTGGACCCCTGTCTATCAAGATTGAACCCAATTTGCTGTTAATGTACATGTACAGGGTTTTTCATGACGAGCTTACACTATCTATATATCGTAAACTACTTAAACGATATTTATGAAAATTGGTTTGTGGGGATGACAAATCATTGCGAATTTAAAGAAAATATTTTGACAAGCATGCCACTTCCGGTTATACCGGAGGTGAACAGCAACTTTGTTATTTTAAATGAAACATACCGTATATTATTGTCTTTTTATACTCTAAGTAAAATTGTAGACAAAATTTGTATAAGGTACCATAGGTCAAAACTTTATATTTTTTGTTATTGATCTTTTTTCAATAATTTTGACAGATAGAGACAAACTGTTCAATGTTAATAGCTCGTCCACTTACAAACATAATGCCTTGAAAACTTTGCATACAAAGAATAGGTAACGTTCTTTCAGGAATTTACATCGAAATTGAATTTCTAAATACAGGGTGTTCACAAATGATAAGGTAAACCCGGGGAAGTGTGATTGTGGGGCAAGTGTGACTATACTATATAAAATTTTCTACAATTTAGGGATACCAGCGGCATCTTGTGAGTAGAAACTTAAGTTCTTGAAACATCGATCTATGCAAATAAACAGTTTGCAGAAAACAAGTAATTTGATATTTGATTGTTGGCGTATGTTTCTACGAATTAACTTGTTGATGTTATTGTGCAGACTTAGTTTACAAATTTTGTGAGAAGTGAGTACTTGCGTAACTTAGGTCACGCTTCTTCTTCTTCTTAACGTGCCCTATCAAGTCCCCTTGACGTTGGCGATTAACATGGCGAAACTGTCTCTGTCTCGAGCTATTCTAAAGAGTTGCTCAGCTTTCTTTATTCCTCTCCACTCTCTGATATTCTTCAACCAAGAGGCCTGCTTTCTACCAATTCCTCTGCGTCCTTCGATTTTACCCATCATAATAAGTTGAAGAATATTATATCGGTCTCCCCTTACTACGTGCCCAAAATAGGCCATCTTTCTACACTTGATGATATCAAGCAGCTCGCGAGCAGCATTTGCTCTCTCAAGGACTGCCACATTTGTCAGCATAGCCGCCCATGAAATTTTTAGTATACGTCTGTGCAGCCACATTTCAAAGGCCTCCAGACGATTTCCATGCTTCGACACCGTATAAGAGGACTGACCAAATGTAGCATTTAACCATACGCTTTCGAAGTTGAAGTTTCAAGTTATCATTACAGAAGAATGACCTCATTTTTAAAAATGTCGTGCGGGCTATCTCGATTCTACATTTTATCTCTTGATCTGGATCTAGTTGTTCAGTAATATGGCAACCAAGTATTTAAAACTGGACACTCTTTGAATTATATGACCATCAACATATAATCGTGCATCTTGATGTGATAAACGGCTAAACACCATGTGTTTTGTTTTTGAACAGTTTATGTTTAGGCCAAACTCTCTTCCCACTGTATCAATGGTATTTAAAAGGCATTGTAATCCATTCATGTCATCACTTAAAATAACTGTATCGTCTGCATATCTGATTGTATTTATCAAAATTCCATTAACTTTCACGCCCCATTCCAAATTATGCAGCGCTTCTTTAAATATTCTATCTGAATATAAATTAAATAAAAGTGGGGATAGTATACAACCCTGTCTGATACCTCTTTGTATTTTACATATTTCTGTTGATTTTCCGTTTATGCAAGCTGTCGCTGTTTGACGCCAGTATAACTTTTCTATGAATCGTATGTCTTGACTATCAACTCCTTTATCTTTTAATATTGTAATTAATTTGTGATGCTGTACTCGATCAAAGGCCTTTTCATAGTCAATAAATACAGCAAAGACGTCTTTCCTTTGATCTCGACATTTCTGCAGTAATACATTTAGTGCAAAGAGGGCGTCCCGAGTTCCCAGTCCATTTCTGAAGCCAAATTATGTTTCATCCTGATCTTTACATTTATTTCTGATTCTACTGTGGATGATGCGTAGAAATATTTTCAAAGTGTGGCTCATAAGGCTTATCATTCTATAATCGCTACAGTTTTTCGGACGTTGTTTTTTTGGTAGTGTTATGAATTCGGACTTTAACCAATCTTCAGGGATATCACCAGTATCATTGAAAAGTTTGACCAGTATTCCATTGTTCACCTCATTTATAAGCTTTAACATCTCTGTCGGTATGTTATCAGGGCCAACGGCTTTCTTGTTCTTTGCTAACTTATAGCATGCAGTATTTCTGATTTTAGTATTTCTGGTCCTTCACCTTCAACTAAAGTGTCCGGTTCTTCGGATCTATCATCATTATACAGTTCACTTATATAATTACACCAGGTTGTTCGAATTTCATGTTCGTCTATGATCATTTTTCCCGACGAATCGGTTATAGTATGTGGAGTTTTCTTATGATAAAGACCAGCTACTTCTCTAACTTTTTTAAACATATTAAACGTATCATGTTTTTCATTCAACTTTTCTAATTCCTTGCATTTATACTCCATCCATTTTTCTTTAGGCACCTTTATTTTTTGTTTAATTAGTTTCTGTTTTTCCTTATATTCTGTCTTGTTACCTTTCATTTTCCTTCTCTGCTCCATTAATTCCAGGATTTCATCAGTCATCCATTGTTGTTTTTTGTGAATGTATAACGTTGTTGAATATTTTTCTATTACTTTCAAGGTAAGATCTTTAAATGTGTTCCATATTTCTGTGTTGTTTTCATCTATTGATTTCTTTAGCTCATTGTTTAAGTCATTTTCTATTAACGTTTTGTTGGATATTGAGATATTTAATTTTGGTGTTTTGGGGCTTTCTTGGACTTTTTTGAGCTTCACTTTGATGTCAGTTATTACAGGGTTATGGTCTGACTTACGGTCTTATGGTCTGACTTAAGGTCACGCTTACCTCTTTTATATTGCCTACTGGGGTAAATGTGACCCCGTGTACTGGGGCAAGTGTGAACTTGTAAAACTGTCTTTTAATTTTTAATTCTAAATTGAACATGATGAGAAACTATAAACGGAAGTCGGATCGAGCAACCAAATATACCCAAGATGATTTAAATCACGCAGTGTCAGGGATATAAAGAGGGGTTTTGTTCGATATACCGTACACATAAATTGTATAATATTTCTAAAAGAACATTATTCTACCATGTGACTAGTGCTCGAGGAGTTAAAAAGCAAATTGCAAAGAAGGGCTCCAGCGATTCCATTCGCAAGATGAGGCTAGATTGGCCTAAGGACTAAAAACTATGCAGCAGTAGGGATATGGAATATTCTGATTGGAACTACTAGAGATTGTTCGCGAAATTGTCATCAAAAATGACATAAAAACTCCATTTAATTATAACACTCCTGGGGTTGAGTGGTTCGGGAGTTTTAAAAGACGTCACCAACTTAGCATAAAAAAACCCCAAGCTGTGGAGTACTCAGGAAAAAAAAATGACAGATCCTTTCATCATCCAAAAATATTTTGATATTCTCAAAAAAACTTTAGTTCAGCTAAAATTAGAGGACAAGCTGCAGCTCGTGTGGAATATGAACGAAACATTCATTTCTCACGACCCCAAAAAAACCAAAGTCGTATAAGCTAAAGGTAAACCAAGTCCAGAACTATTTCCGGTCCAGGAAAAGAAAACACCACGGTTCTTTCAGCAGTGTCTGCATCAGGGACGAAGGCACCACCATTAATCGTATTCAAGGGAAAAAATATTTGGGATTCCTGGCTACCAGATAACAAGAATTCATTTCCGGGAACTGCTTGTGCAGCCAGTCCCAACGGATAGATGGAGAGTGACATATTTTTTAATTATTTAAAAAATAACATTTATTCCTGCATTAGGAGAAAATAGGCCGGTACTGTCGATATTATGAAGGTCATAGTACCCATATTAGTACGGTCATAGTACCCAAAAAAAAAGTTTTCTCTGACGATAGGCACTACATGGAAAAACCTAAGCGTAGAAATTATCAAAAACAGGTTTAGAAAAGCTGGTATATATCCATTTAACTGTCATGTCATACGGATGACATGGAATCGAAAAAGATGGAACGAACAAAAGAGTTTAGAAGACCAAACAATAGTTGTAGCTGAAACAGCAAATACTAATATGGATGCTATTACCGCCGGCAATATTGATCAATCTGTAAATAAAGACCAGATTGTGGAAAACCATAGAACCAATATTTCTGATGCAACTCCAAGAAGTAGTTCTTTAAAAATAAGTTTTGAGGAGCTGCTATTAAACACTGTTAAACAGACAAATAAGCAAAGTCCTTTGGGCTCAAAAATAAAAAAAAGTAGCTGCAGGGAAGTCGTTACTTCCGAAGAAGTTCTGAATAAACTTACAGATGAAAATATATTGAAGAACATAAAAGAAATAGAAAAAACAAACAAAAGAAGAAAAACGCAGAAAGAAAAAAGAACAAAAATTCAAAAACCGAAGAGGATTAAGAAACGAGAAGAAACTTTTAGTAGCTCAGAATCAGAAGAACATTTGGTAGAATATGTTGACTCTGAAGATGATTTAGACCCTGGAATGTTTGAAGAAAACGAGTAAAAAATTGAGAAAGAAGTGCCAACAGTTGGAGAGTTGGGAAATACCCACATCGCGCTGGATATTAGGATTGTTGTAGAGACACATCTAAAAAATATATTAAACATTTTATTGAAAGAATTTGTAACAAGATTGAAAATGAATGAAAAATTTACTTTTTAAGTTATAAAAAGAGTAGTAACAACTTTTTTTAGAAGGGATCATTTTACTTTTGACGTACATTTTGTCGGGCTGTACCTTTAAATCTTAAAAAGTTTGTAACTTGCTTAAAAATAAATAAATTAAAATTTTTCAAACACTAAAAAAAAAGCGTTATTTCTTCCACTTTTAAATTAT